GTGCATCGACAATTGCTGCTTGACTCTGCTCACCCAAAACTAAAGTGCCCATAGAGTGCTCGTGCAGGGCTGAGCCACATTTCTCTTGGGTGAGCACTCTTGGCTGCTTGGTTTATCTGCACGCAGAAGTCTTTCTTAGCTCAACAGCTCCTTTTGTCTAGCCAAAATGGCTCAAAGGACATGCACCTTCCCTCTCTTTCACAGCGTACACCGGCCGGAAACAAACCAGTCCATCGTTGCTCAATGGCCCTGGTTCAGCCCCAGCATGTTGGTTCTTGGTTCGTCTTATTTCCCTTCGCTAACCAGTCTTGGTTTGTCGAAGGACCAAAGTCCCCCCAAAAATGAGTTTTTCATGTCCATCTTCGATGACCAAAAACGACGACCAACGGAAACAGCACAAAGACCGAGGTTCGCAGTCGTTGTCCGGCAGCAGACCGTCAGGTGCGATGTGAACGAAATTGGGTCAGTGCAGTTGTGAGGTGAGTCTGACAAAAACAAGGGAAACTGAGTTCTTGTTTACTGTAATTCTTGATGAAACAAACAAGATACACAACATATGTCACACACACATGACCCATAGATAAATTACAAGTCCCCAATCCCCATAATTACACAAAAGGTCGTCAGGTGGTGCAAGAGGCCTAACATCTGCGGTACAAACAGGCCCAGTATCGGTCTCATTCCGGTTCCCTCAAAAAAGAACACTGGACCAAAATGAAAGATATATCCGGACCCTAAAAACAACTCCGGAGTACCTGCAATTTCTTGAGGACTGAAACACAACAAAAACTTTCTTCACTCGCTAACTTCATGTTTAGCATGTTTCAATATATACATGTGTGTTCTTTTAAATACATGTTGGTGTTTTTGTGCCTTCAAAAAACCTTGATCGACTGGGGCTTGATGAATCCGGGTGACAAAAACGGAAGAAATCCACTACAAGAATTTACACCAAATGGTCAACACCTGATATATCTTTTAAAAAAAACACTTAGACATTTTGTAAAGCATTGTATAACCACGTGTAGCCTTATCCTTGTTTCTTACTATTTTTCGTTTTACAATGTTTGGAAATCTTTATACAGTCTCTTATCGTTTCCCAGCCAACCAGACATGTCCCTGCCTCAACTGCAAACAAGTCGGTCTGGTGTGCGTGCACTATTATGTGAGCACTATGTGAGTATGTGCATTGCTTTGGGTGGATTTTTCTTGCCAACGATTGCAGTGCTGCTGCTGTCAAGTTCTTTCCTTGCCGACCTCTTCAAAGACATGGCATATGCTTTTTCAGTTGCAGGAGCACTGACCACAAGCTCGCGTACATGGGACATGGTCTTCCCCAGGACTTTTTTGTGTAATTGTGTTATCGTTTCTGTTATCGTTTTGCTATCGTTTTGGAACCCCAAGTATTCACCGCCTTGAACGTAGTATTTTCCGTGTTCGCTACTATGCTACCGCTACCACTGCAACCCTGTGACTCGTACGTGTAGACATCTTTCGTATGAGAAAGGTCGCCTAAAGGACACCCGAATCACAACTAGACTCAACTTGTCTCACCATGCTCACGACATGCTCACGACTGAACTGAAGGCATTTGAATTTCCAATGCTTCTATTCTCATGTACTGTACTGCATGTATTATATGTTTATTATCGTTCTAATTTGTTTGTTTGTTTAATTCTTTATTGTTTTACACTAAATCAGCAATGGTTTGCTAAAACGGGACCACTCATCACATTTTTCCTTGGTCGTTTTCTTGGTAAACATCACCTGATGTGTGATGCAGTTTAATTGTATGTGATCATATGACTGATCATATGTGATCTGTGGTAAGTACAGTAGGTTGAGGTTCTATGAGCTTTGGCTGTGCAGCGCGCAAATACGCGCAACACCCAAACGGACACTTCGCTCCTTTTCACAACGATCCCACCAGTCTGGGATGATTGTGGCCGAAGGCCGTCCAAAACGACGTGCAAATGGAGGAGATATGTTTCCTTAGCCAGCGGCTCAATGGAGATGTGTAAAGATTCTGCAGATTTCATGCAAACCCCGTGCCACACTCTCTGCACATTGCATTGAAACGACTGGTCGATCTCCTCGCTGGGAATCTCCTTTTTCCCCGAGCGAACAGTGCTGTTTCACACCGAGCGCATGAGGTGTTCTCGAGACGTTGCGTCCGAAAGCGGTGAAACCGGGGCGATGGCCCTGCCGATCATCCACCAGCGTTTGGAGCTTAAACAGTGACATGAAGGATCAACAGGCAATTTTCGAGTGACTATATGGATGATAGAAACCCTGGCTCTACATGATTTTAAGTGGGAATCAATATGACTCCCATACTTGGGTTTCAAGGTCTGTGGGTTCTGGTGGCATTGATCCAGGTACCTATAGTCATTGAAATGGCTTAATACTGATAGAGCTAGAAACCCATGATTCACCTAATTACATCTAATGATACTATATTACTATATGCGTAACTCGCAAGTCTTGTTTTCTGATGCCTCTGCTTCCAAAAAGGTGTGTCATCCATACGCCGGGATTCAAATTTACCCGCTCCCGGGCCGGGGATCATTTACAGTCCACGAGGGATGAACCTGGGCGACGGCCAAGGAATCGTGGATGGCAGGGTAAAGACGCGTGGGCACGTAAGGGCAAGCAAACAACTCAGGAAAACCACAAAATCCATCCTAGTAACAAGGACGCTACTAGGGGCTCATGGCCTTACTACTAGGAGCAAGAAGCTACTATAGGGGCTCCTGGCTACCCTAAACCCTAAACCCTAAACCCCTAGTAACAAGGACGCTACCATACTTCCTTTTTCCGAAGTCGAAGACCGTCGAAGAACATGGTCTTTTCAGGGGCCAGGCCGTCCGGAGGTGAGTGTAGTCATCCCCTTCTCCAACCCCCTCTGCCGCAAACCGACCCTTACCGACACAGTCTTCTACCCGGTCGGCCACATGGCCAAAAGGCCGGGGATCCAGGTCCATCCACGAAGAGCAGTGGATGTCAACCACTGGAAGAGTGACACTTCCAGAGTAAATGGCGCAATCTGCAAAACGAAGTTTACATGGACCCCATCTAAAAGTCATCTTGGGGGTTGTGCCATCTTCTCTGAAACCACTGTAGTGATCCGTAGATGTTTAATTCTAGTTTGACACCCCTTTTGAGTGGCACTATACTTCCAGACATATACTTAGAACATCAAAAAAAAACAAAATGGAAAGTCCTTTACTTAGAACATCGAGCTTAGCACATCCAGTGTAAGCACACTTAGAACATGCGCGCAAGCACTCTTAGAACAAGAGAAAACAGCATACTTAGAACATCATATGTATATATTTATATTATAGTTTTTGGGTTTCCCGGTTTCCTCTTGGGTTGGAGGCCATCACTCTTTGGTAGGAGGCCATGGTTATCTCCATCACCACACCAAACATGCCACCGCTCTTAGGTTGGAGGCCATCGCTCTTGAGTTGGAGGCCATCACTCTTAGGTAGGAAGTCATCGCTCTAAGGCTCCATAACTATTCCATGTCAATGTCCATACACATTAAAAAAATGTTCTAAGTGTAGTTGCGAGGGCCTGGGAGCCATCGCTCTTGGGTTGGAGGCCATCACTCTTTGGTAGGAGGCCATCGCTGTCTCCAGCACCACACCACCGCTCTTAGGTTGGAGGCCATCGCTCTTGGGTTGGAGGCCATAACTCTTAGGTAGGAAGCTATCGCTCTATATAAGCCCCCACAACTATTCCATCTTAATTTCCCAAACACATTAAAGATATGTTCTAAGCGTAGGTGTCGGACTATGTTCTTAGTGTAGGTGCGAGGGCCTGGGATGTTCTTACTCTAGGGTTAGAACATCTGCTGGCACATACTCTTAGAACATCGCGACCTATACACTTAGAACATTTCACCTGTGGAAAAAATATAGTGTCTTTTTCCAAAAGATGTTCTAAGTGTATGTCGTACGGTATACATGTGGGAACAAAGTCCGGCACCACAGGACTCATATATTTGTACTTCTCCTCATTTGTGTGCATATCATTTGTGCGCACATTAAGTTATATATAATGTAATATTAAATTAATAAAACTAGAAAAATACACATATTTCTGAATGTTCATCCTTTGATGCTGAAACGCTCATCTTCCAAGCTCTCATGAGTCACCGAGCTTTCAGTTCTCGCGGCGAGTCGCGGCCCAGCGGCCCTCTTCGTGACAACGTTCAGTTCTCTCCTGCAGCACACAGTACCGTGAGAACATCAAGTGCTGCAAAAGTGCTGGACGTTGTGAAGCGCCATAAGTCTGCCCAATTATGGTGTTCTCTTTGGTTGAGTGACTAGCTAGGAGGAAGACAATTCTCCATTCCATGCCTCTTTTTTCCTGAGTTGTAGACAAGGTAAGGCCCCCCCACCCCTACATGTTTGCCTTCGGATTGCGGGTCTCACGGTTCCCACCAGGCCCGCCTGTGCCTGTGAAGATCACATTCGGCTGAGGTCGCCTTTGACCAGGTGGGCAAACAAAGATTCGGCGAAAAAGCTCCTAGTAGCGTCCTTGCTCCTAGTAGTGAGGCCAGGAGCCCCTGGTGCCCTTGGCACCTAAACACACATGTTGGGGGCAACATAACCATCGGTAAACCATGGTAAACCAAGTCGGAGTTCCCGAGTATCACCCGGTATCTCATGTCAAGGCGGTTCCTGACATTGATCCTGAAAGCTTCTTTGCAACCTGTGCCGGCTTCTCCTGATGGGGTCTGCAGTTTCCACCCAAAGTTGAGATGACTATATAGATGAGATTGGATGAGTAGTTTAGTAAGTTTAGAAACCCATGCCGCTTGCCCTGCCACCGTCCGTCCCTCGTTCGAGACTTCGGTTGCACCCGGGCCATCGGACCGTGCTGCCGGCTTGCCGGCGGGAGCGCGGACCTGGAAGTCTGGCCTTTGCGCGGCCATCCGGTGACGGCTTCCCAAACGGTCGCCCTTAGTAACAAGAAGCTACTAGGAACAAGTGCATCGCTACTAGTAACAAGTGCCTTACTAGTAGTAACAAGAAGCTATTAGAAACAATTTAATGAAATTCTAATTCCAATGGCAGGGTAATACAAAAACAGGTAAGACATGGTAGGACATGATTGGGTGACAACTGTGACAACTTTTCTTGGGCAAGCTCATCCGCTGTGGTTATGCCGTGCTTCAACAAACTCTGCCCAGCATTTCATGTCAGAAAAGGGAACACATGTCCCTTCCCACACCTGTGCCAGTGACTGAGAGCAGTCTACCTTACAAGCTACAACAGAATTCGACCTACTACAGCTCGTAGATGGCAAGTTAAATAGAAAACGCTCTACAACTTATTTGCAAAACCGGGATTCGCTTTCTATATCATAGTACAGTCGGGGTCACTTCCTCAAGGAGTGCACATCCCAACCTCAATAACCTTTCCCACTTCGCTGTCCTTCCTGGACTCGAGTGTCTTTCGGAATGTCGTACAGTAAATACCATGTGCTGCTTAACATCAGCGATTCCCCCAGTGCTTTTTCACTGTCTTTCCGTTCCGGGTGATTCAGGGGGGTTTTCTGAAAACTCTCCCTCCGGTGACCAAATCCTGGTGATCCTGTTTTACCCTGTGAGACATGCAATGGATCTGCCGCCATCTTCGACGGTGGCAGCTCAACCAACTCCCTCGGCAGCTCGTGTGCCGCCATTGGCGTGTCCTCAGGAGTGTGAAGACGATGCATGGGGCAAGTCAGCATTCGGATCCACCACACTGTTTTTTGCTTAAAACTAAATTCATCTATAGTCTAACTATGCTTAATTCTGGCATGTGTGGTGCATTTTTTGCGAGGTATCTGTGTGTTTATCAATGGTCCACTAGGGCAATTGACAGGTCAGCCAATGTGTTTTCGTGGAGCATAACAACACTCTGCGGATCCATATTCCACTTCCATCTGTGCGTGTATGTCACAAAGTGTCACACATCCGAAGGATTCCAGAGGTGTGTGATGGTCTGTGGCCTAAAAGTTCGATATATTCCGAACCCAAACGGTGAAGGATGGTCATCAGTCAGGTCCCCACAAAGTAATATCTCTAGGTCAGTCAGGAAGGGACGTTCAAAAGAAAGCCTTTGGGTGGTGAAATGGTATGGTGAATGTCTGTGATGGTCATTGACTTACCTGGAGCATTTGGGAGACAGCCCCTGGAAAAGGTTGCTCCCCAAGCCAGCATCCCTGTTCAGCACAACCTATGCAACCCCAACTTCCAAGAGCTGCCACCGACCGAGTCCCGACCGAGTCCCGACCGAGTGCCACCGGGTCGTCCGGCCAGTCACTCCGTCGGTGTTCTCCTCAGGTCACCTCGGACATCTGGACCATGTCCTGGCACGGATCCGGAGCGATCGGACGCGCCGCAGCCGGAGCAAAGGGGGGCATCGCGGCATGAACGGAACAACGAACGCTACTATAGTTACTAGGGTGATCCACATCATGTGTCTTTCTTTTCCCACGGGTTGAGTCGTGAGTCGTGGGTTGACAAGCACTCCAGGATGCCTTTGCGGAAGTGCGAATGCCTTTGGGGAGGCAATTTGAGTGACTCCAGTCATGAACAATTGCAGGAGAAATGATTTTAATGCCAATAAAATGACGGAGGATAAAACAAAAACTCCGGGTAGGAAGGGGGCGCAAGATGTCTTGCCGATTTGTTGCCGGCCTTTTTAGGGTCATTGCAACACTGTTGTACATATATATATATATATTTATAGTAATTATAAACACAGCAACATTAAAAGGCGACTCATTCTATCCGATGCAGAAGAGTGAAGCCGATTCTCTGCCCAGCTCCCCGACCACACCTGTGGAGCCTCTTGCGGATCATCCACTTGATCTGGGCAACGATGGCGAGTAATTGCGAGTTGAAGCCGTTAAAAAACACGTGGTCAAACTGGAATGAACGTGTCAGTCACATCATCACATAGTCTCAAAGGTACCACCGTGTACCGCGGTACGTTCAGTGATCCAACGTGTTGGGCTGTCTCAGTTTGATGTGTCATGATGAGTCCAACGTCACACGGTGTCACCGCCCAGAAGTGCCTGCCAAATGAAGCAAGAAAACATGATGCAAGAGAAATAACCAAACACCCATTTGCCAAAGCCCATCTATGCTGCTTTCGCAATGAGGATGGTGGCTCAAGCCCTGCAATTTGCAAACTGACCAAAGAGAATGGGAGAACTGGTGTCATGTTCGCTTCTTGTGTGTGTGTGTGTAGCCAAGAAGAGAACTTTGTTCAATGTGGCAGGAGAACTTCTGCTATTATGAGCACATCCTCCGAGAAACATGGGATGAAACACAATGTAATGTCTTTGTGCTCGAAGGCACTAGAATAGCCTTGGAAGACAGTAGAACTGTTGCGCCCAGTGCATCCAGCTTCACGTTCTTTTGGCAACAAAAAAATAAATACTTCGAAAGGTCGAAGTGTGTGTAATTCCATTGTGGTTCCTTCTCCAATGATGGCCACTTGATGCCACTTGGATCCACCATGAAAGCCAACGGGAATGACTATTTGGAGTATCAGTGGGTGTTGCAAAGCCAAACTCCATCTCAATGCGAGTGAAGCACTGAATCAATTTGGGAAGCAGCAAGCACAGCACACAACACGGATTTGTGAACATCGTGAACGTTTGTAAATTCGTCTAGCTGTAAAACACACATGAAAGTGCTGCTATCACTGAAAGTGCCCCACGCAAGCGCAGAACCACGCGTGCGTCAAGAGGCTCAACTCGATGGTCTTCTGCCGACCCACCAAGCCTTGGGCGTGCGCGAATCGGCGCCCAGGTGATGGTAAGGCACTTGTTACTAGTAGCGATGCACCTGTTCCTAGTAGCTTAATGTGTCTACTAGCTTCTTGTTACTACTAGTAAGGCACTTGTTCCTAGTAGCAATTTTGTAGAGTGATGATTGTTTGAGTTTGCACCTGCTTTGAATCTACAACAGGGACAGCACAAATACACGCAGCCAACCCCTTAGCCATGGTCGTCTCCAAAGAGCAAGCAACCAAACCAAATCCTTGCTTGACATACTTGAAGCTCCAGCACATTTTTGGCACGTGTTATTCCTGGCTGGACATACATAATCTGCTTACAACAGTTCACAACCGTCCAATTCGGCATCGCCATTGGGCTCCCGGCGCTTCCGCATGTCCTTCATGCCCAAGGCTTCGGTCAAGCTGGTACGGCGGTTCTCCAGATGCGTCCTGTGAGGAGAGCCCAGATTTGGCCAGGTGGCCTCTGAAACGAAAAATGCTTTGGATCTTCTGGGATTTGTGTAGTGAGTCCCTTGGAACCTAGACACTTTTGAAACTAGAAACAGGATGCTTTGTCTTTGTTCCAAAGTTCTTCTTTGGAACATCATTTTTAGTATTCAAGGCAACATCTCCAGCATCGCATGGTGAAACTGGAGTTGCTGATCGACCTGAAGAATCGACTCTTCGAGGCTTGAAGATCGAAAGCGTTTTGGCATGTCACAGTCTGGAAAACCTGTGGAACCCATGCCAAAACGAAAGGCAGCCTTTTAAGCAATGTGCGTTGTTCCAGAGTTTTCGCCCAGTGTGTGGATTTCGGCGAGTTTTTGACACACGTTGTTTACTGGGTTTGGCTGTGAGGAATTCCACCTCCTCCACCAGACCACGGTAGGTTCACATTCCTTATACAGGAATCCCTTCATTATCAGCTTGTTTCTGGAGTCGGATCTTGCAGTGTTGCTTCAGATGGTCTAAATCTGCTTTATGTCCAGTCCATGCTCCTTCCGTGTCTCACACACACACACCATGTAGGAATCCATGCACCCAACCCTAAACCCTACAGAGTACCTATACAAATGAGTACACGTACCGCGCTCGACCCCACCAACTGTGTCCTGCCATGGCCAGTCATGGCAAACTTCTCTCCTCAGGCGGTTGCAATAGCGGTCTGCCGTGGCGGGTGGAAATGGAATGCAAACGATCAAGCAAACCAGATCTGAGCGACCAAGCTCGTTGCTTCGCAACCAGCTGATAGAGTTTGCCGTTGTCAATCCATAGTCAGTTATGTAGCCCAAGCCCTTGCTTTGTAAACTCACCAACAGTTGCACACCTACTGAACAAGGATTTTGCTGGGGGTGAAATGTCAGGGTGCAAGCTTCAGGATTTCATATGATTAAAACATGATGCCGCTGCCAAATACTCATTTTACAGGTTATGTTCATATGAACATGAAAACATGCATTAATTATACAATTGTCTATCAATGGGAGGGTCCTACTTTTCTCACCAAACATATTATGTACATACGTAATATCTCTATATATATATACATAGCGATGACATCCAACCTACTATCGATGGCCTCCAACACTAGCGATGGCCTCCAACCATATGTATACTAATATCTATATCTATACTGTCTTACAACTACATGTATATACAGTAACAAGAAGCTACTAGTAACAAGTGCATCGCTACTAGTAACAAGTGCCTTACTAGTAACAAGAAGCTAATTAAAAATACGTTTGATTCTTGTTACTAAATGTAGACATTCTGTATACACCACATGTCACCCACTTTCCCATCCTTGGAACTGAATCGACTGCCGAGCATCGGGTGGTGAGCCGCGAACGCGAAGGCTGCCGGGATTCGATCTCAGGGGCCTTTTGCGCAGAAACAAACACGTGAAGGGCCAAAACACTCTGAGGCCAAACCACAAGATAACGAGTACCTTGTTTATCTTATTTATAGTTCTTGATAATCGAGGGGGGACCCCCGTTTTTTTTTCTTTTTTTAATGGGTGGAAGATGGTGGAAGGGATTACTAACCCAAAGTGTCCCAAACGTGCTGGACACCTCGAAAGGTGGACCACTCAGTTTGTGCCCATGTCGCCCTTACCAAACTGGACTTCTGGCTGCCCTTTGATTAGTAGCCGTTGAACATGAAATAAACAATCACTGGCCAATCGTCTATGACAGTCTATGACAGTCTATGATCTATCATCTCACCACCTCTCCTCTCTCAGTTGAAACACATTGCCCAGCTGCCCGACTTCAAACTGCTTCAAGGAACCTGAGAGAGTCCAGAGTTGCCGGTCATCAGCATTGAGCCACGCGTCGTGCCCGACGAGGAGCGCATGCTGGGCGCGCTGGAGACACGGCCCGGTGGCTCCTGAACTGCCGCAGGCGGCTGCTGAAGTGCCAAGTTGAAACGGTGAATCGTGATGAGGCATGGTGAAGTTGGGCCTGGGACTGTTGAGCTCCTAAAGCTGGCTGAAAGATGTTGAAAGGATGGAGGAGTCCTTAGTAACAAGGACGCTATTAGGTGGAGGCCATGGCTACTAGGAGCAAGAAGCTCTGTAAGGAGAATGTTGAACAAGAAGCTACTAGGTGGAGGCCATCACTATTACAGTGGTTTCAGAGTAGATGGCACAGACCCCAAGATGTCCTTTAGATGGGGGTCCATATAAGCAACCTTTTGGGGATTGTGCCATCTACTCTCATCCCACTATAGGTTGGAGGCCATCGCTACTCGTAACAAGAAGCTACTAGAGATGTTGGACATGTTTCAACAAATCCACTCGTCGCAAGCGGAGATCGCCAGGAGTGCAGCAGCTCGCCTTCTTCCGCCGCCGCCGGCGCAGCCCAAAGAGCACCCCGAAGAGGAGCACAACGATGGGAACTGCGCTCGCCTAGGTGCCAGGTATGCTTGGAGTGAAAAGCCATGGCTGTGCTTAGGCTTAGAAAGGTGGTTGAGCCGTTACTAAGAGCAAGTATGATTAAGCATGTATACCTAGCATGTGATATATTGTAGGGCCAACTCCCCCTTATAATAGGATTTCTTCTTGTCAACGAATTGTTTCCCATCAGTTCCTCGCTCCGATCATCAGTTCCGAGGTTGTCGCGCCACAGGCTGGCCAAGTCAAGGTGAACAGCAAAGGATCCTGTGGTCAAGTGCAGCGCGGGGGGGGGTAGGAAGCTACTAGGAACAAGGGCATCGCTACTAGTAACAAGTGCCTTACTACTAGGAACAATGTTTGCTACTAGGAACAAGTGCCTGCGGCGATCGGTTCGCCCCGAAGCGAGGTGAAGCGGTGGTGCGCGGCGATCTGACAAATCATCGGGAACAAAACGAACAGTCTGACAGACTATATATATAGAGTTCTAACAAATATGTTCCACTGTTCCACCTTGAGGTAAGCATATATTTACATATGTTTATGGATGATCTATGTATTTGGGGTTCACACGGAGACCAAGGCTTCCCTACAAACATCACCTCGAGAAGGGTCACAATGTTGCAAAATCGGAGTGACTCCAAGCCGCTCAAAAGACTGAAAAATCCTGGTGAGTTGGCAGCGTTCGGTGATTGTGATGTTTCCAACAAACAGTAGGACATGATAGGACTGATTTGAAGGGTTCCATGACGCCTAGGGGCAAGTCTAGAGTCAAGAGGGTTGTTCACGGATGATGTGGCTGTGCAGCAGCCAACAGCTTCTTTATATTTCTTAATCATGAAATATCATGAACATTTCAGAATTCAATTATTAATTATTGATCACTGCGGAGTAAAAATTGGATGTAGAGATTGAACCATGCCGGAAGTCGGGATGCTTCTCGGGATGCTCCTGCTTGGTGTACCAAGGGGCGCCTATCTAAGGTTTAAGCCTTTAAGCTCTTGGACAGTAACAACAGATAACAGTAACTTATACCCCATAGATTCTGGCGGCAAGTTCTTCGTCTTACAATCCGCGGCAATCCGCGGTCTTCGAATGTTGGGGATGGTGTCTGGGAGCGGTGCGGAACTTCCTCAGTCATCCGCAAATCTCTTTTTGTGGGTGTGCACTGACACCAAAGGACCTAAGTCCAAATGAGTCCAGAGTCCAAGAATAATCCAGTTTGCTTGCCCCACACGAGTGGATCATACACCATACCACCATATTCAACTCCATTGAGGTCCACTTCTAGCAAGAAGATACTACTAAGAAGAAGCTACTAGGGGCTCCTGGACTTACTACTAGGAGCAAGGACGCTACTAGGCCTCACTTCTAGGTCATCCAACCTTCCAGTGCCCGTCTGTGCACCGACGGGCCCCCCTTCTTTCATGCGGGGAGCCATGAAGGAGAAGATCGGAGTGCCCATGACCTCACCAATTAGAGCGGTGTCAAAGCACGATGCGAATCATATGATGTCGAATGCATGGGTGTTTGTTGGGGCAGTGCCCATGATCCTTCGTGACCTCGCACAAACTATTAGGTGCACGACTACTACACTCAGTGAACGAAAAAATGTTACCTATAATTAAACCTTTCCTATATAATTGCTTTCTTGAGTCTTGTCATCAAGACAGATTTTTCTTGTGCGCTTAGTATTAGTGCTTCAAGTTTGAACTCTCTAGGGAATCTCGGCCTTGGCTTCTTGACCACCAGTGACTGTCCACCAGTGGCAGACAGTCGCAAACCGCCACCGACGGTCCATCCTCCATCCTCTTCGGACCGACAAGGATCTCTTCGGAGCAAGTGGCTAAGCGCAGCGTCGGCCCTATATCCAAGGCATCTCCCGAAGGTCCTTCCAAACGCCGCACCGAGACGCTGTAGGCACCTGGTGGCGTTTAGGGATGCGTAGGGGTGTGTAGGGCCGCAGGGAGAAAGTCAATGCTTCTTCTCAGGTGATGGTGTATATGATCAGGAGGATGGGCTTTGTCATGAATTTCTTGAGTGGAATTTCAGTGGAGCTCTTGTAGAAAGAAGTTTGCTGCGGGGGTTGCAGGAAAATATCATCAAAAAGGTTGGCTCATCCAAGGTCCAAGGCGGGCTTCAAAGGTTGAGCATATGTGGTGAAGGGTCTTTGAACAAACGGCTTCAGAGAGTCCTAGAATTCTACATAATCATATAGTGTATACTTAGTTGACATGACTCAACAACTCTCTACTGTCTGCGTTGCAATCAGTCTCCAATTTACCGAGTACAAGCAGAACAAAAAAAAACAATAACGCACACGCACACCGACGCCGTACCAGCCTGACTCTGCGTAGATGCCTTTTTGTCCTTTAGCAACCATGTCCTCCAAAGACCAGCTGCATGGAGGGACACGTGACCATCTGAGACCCCTCCGACGTGTATTATTTTGCTATGTCGTTTCATCATGCCAAAAGAAAGAGTCTGTCATAAGCATGCGATATCCAAGCAATCTCTTTTGCTACAACCTTATATGAGGTAGCCCATAATGAGGCAGGTTCTAGAGCAGTTATTGGAATATCATTTACGTACTTTTTTATGATAAGGATGCGTACCATTGACAACTGCTCCCAAGAGTATTCCTATTGAGAGGCAGAAACACAACAAAAATGGCTGTATCTTAGCCAAACTCTCATGCAAACAATGAACCTGTACTACTCCAAAGCCTTTGATATATATATATATAGATATTCATTAATATATATATATATATATTGAATTACATTAAATATATATATACATTATTCATAGTCACCTCTACAATCAATGACATAGATTGTCATATACAGTATTCTATTCATACCTGAACATCTTTTGGTGGATACTCCTGGCATCCCTCCGATACGCGCGAGCATGCGGGCCTCAGACGCAGCTTGGGTCCAACTATTTTGGGCATTCCAAACCTGGCGAACACAGGCTGTCAGGCTGTTTTGTTTGCCTTCACAAGAGAAGATAGAAACATATTTAGAAACTGATTTGAGCCCCTGGCAGGACAAAGCACCCTCATGGTGGGCGTATCATGGGATGCAGGTAGCCCTGTCAAGGGTCTTTTGGTTACAAAAGCCCAGCAATTCCTGGCCTAACCAGCATAGACATTGGTTCGAGGAAACTCCAGCGGCAAAAAACAGGTGGTAGGATGTTGCATGGGTTTGGTAAGCGACTCCTGCAAATGCTTTCTCGCGGTGCAAGCAGTTGAGATACACAATGTTGCTGACTCCTAGCAGCCTTGGAATCATTGCGCATGGCCTCTAGTCGCCAGGGTATCAATCAAGCACCTTGGATTGTGAACGATGTCTCACAATGACGAGTCTGCTGTGTATATATATATATAATATATCAAATCAAGTTCTTTAGAGATTTTGCGAAGCCTGGAGGAACGACTTTAGCTCCGCACCTGCACCAAGTTCCTGCACCAACAGCAGGCTATCCATGAGTTGTTTTCCCAAAAATTGCTACCGGTTGGGCACGCAGTTTGGACCATCGCAATGGCCCAGTATTGGATTCGATGGTGTCTCGACACCCAACATGCTGGGTTTGCGACTTCAACTCCCATCCACATGCTGATGGTATGTGCCTTCATGTATTTTAAAGGTCCAAAAGGGTCTATTCCCAGGATCTATTCCGTCATCCTCTTGATTGCGTGGTAGGCATCCTGTCATTTCTTCAAACAAGATGGGCTAAATCCCCTAAGTACTTGTAGAACGAAATTGCTAAGAGTATGTCAAGTAAACTGCAGAATGGCCTTTGGATTCTGAGATCCACTCAAAACCGATGCAGGACCGACATCTGTGGCACCGCCTTGTTCACACGCAGGTGGCCGGTCTCTTCATCGATGAACACCCCGGAGGCCTCGATGAACAAGCCCGGAGGCCCAGACCGACAGTCTGGGCTCCGTCTACAAGTGGTCACGTTCGGGGATGTTGGTCAAAAACGACGTATTCTTGAAATGTTGCCCTTTGTTGCCCTGTGGGTTGTTATCAGAAAAATGACAGCCAGCTAGTTGCAACTGAAGGGACCTGCACGTTGGCCTGGGTTGGATGGGCTTGGTTCGGAACTGTTGATTTGGCACTGTCTTTATGTGGCCGATGGCATTCAAGAAAAGTACAGTCGATTGCTTGCCAACCCAAGCATCCCAAAGCACTTTGCATGCAGATTTTTCGTTCGTTTCGCATTGTTTCCTATTTCTCATTCAAAAGATCTGATCCTCTCACACCGGTGCAATATACAGTGTGTGGGACCATCCGAGAATTGCAGTTGGCATTGTATATATACCTACTATACCTACTGATTCCATGCTACAGCACGGATGGCGCCAAACGACCGTTGGACCCATCCGCGACATGGGTGACCTATGAAGCACCCCCAAACACCAAACCGAAAGGGACTAAACTCTACAGTCGTATAACATCGTATAACAACCAAAGCCAAGTCCAGTGTGCAAGGCGAACAAAAGGCAAAAACGCGGAACCACGGCGTGAATTCGCGTTCGGTTCGTCCCTCGCCATGTTCTCCGCCGCCAGGACGTCGCCGCTGCTGGTGCTGACGATGGCTTCTCCCAGGCTGATGGAGGAAGCGATGGCCACCACTTCCTGCGGCCGAAGGTCGGTGGGTGTGGCCACTTGGAGGTGTATGCGATCGTTGCAAAAACACGTTCCACCGAACAAACGATTTAGTGTCTACGGTATATGATATTCCTTTCTTGAACGATTCGCATGCCTTTGTTTTTGCAAAATACAAGACTTTCCATTCCACCAAGGCAAGGGAGTTCGGGATCTGCTGAGATCGAACAGGTGTGGAATCTACTCTCCTTCGCTTCGGGGGTGGTTGATGGAGCCAGGCCTCTGTGTGGTTGTCGCTTGATGGATTTTGCAGATTTGGCCGTTACTACTCGTATCTTCGTCAAAAGATTAACATACAAAGCACATACAAGCTATACACTAAGCTACACATATTATAGTTCTGCATATAAATGGTATATTATTGGCAGTGGAGAGTTGAAGAAAATACCCTAGACGTCTGCAACCAACATAACATAACCAAAAACTGAGGGGAAGAGATGGATTTAGCATGATTTAGCAAGCTTCTACATGAATCGATTGGATGAACTCCTTTTGCACCAGATGCATCCAAAGAGCTGGACGACATCTCCGTTGTCATCCGCAGTCCAGTCTTCGTGGGGGGGGGCAATATGCTGGCTAGAAGAATGCATGCGCAATGAAGTATAAGTATGGACCAGTGATAGGCATGGATCAGGAAAATGCTACTTACGGTGCATCCAAAACCCAATGTTCCATTCATATGGTGTTCCAGCAACTATCGCAATGTGGAACAATGGATCCCAGAATCGCAACCCTTTGAGTGAGTCTTCCACTACCTCGGTGAGTTTCCTCCATTCTCCGACGGTATTTCCCCGATGAGCAAAAAGCCGCTGGTCATCCCACGACCAACTCCGTCCTGAAAGATCTCCGCAGACCTCAATTCTGAAGGTGCAATCAACAATCAAAAACATCTTTGTTTGACTCGTGCACGCAAATACCAAATTGAACAGGCAGCAGTTTAGTGAATCTCGGAATGACAACGGATTAGAGGCACTCCCTACTACACATGGACAGTTCATTTTGCCATATCAAACTAGTCAATCTCTTTCTGGTTCAACACAAGGCCCCACTCAACAGTGATCTGGTTGACTTATAGTGCAGGCATGCAAGTGTGGTGCATTGCCAGATATGACTTGAGCTCTGCACCTTCCACAAGTTCCCCAAAGCATTGCTGTGTGATCCACCCCAACCCAGTTACCCAGAAGCTCGCACCAAGTGGCACGACCACGCGCACCAAAACGTTCGTCAAGCGGTCCGACCTCGGTCGTTGCGGGCGGATTCCCATTGAACCGCCAGCGGTTCTCCGGTGTTCCCTCGCCGCGCCTGTTGAGGCACGGTGGAAATGTCTGAGCCTCACGTCTGGAGCCCATAACAGCATCTGCCCGCTTCCAAAAATAGAATAGTTTCTTTCTTGTGCGCCCGAATCAAACGTGGTAGTCAAGCCATGGGACCATGTTCTACTTGCCCCGCTGAATCACAATGTTACATGTTTGTTTTTAAAGTCCCACTCAGTGCTCCTCGGCTCCTTTGGCGTTCAATCACACCAAGGTCTCAAGGCACCACGAGGCAAAAGAACTAATTCGGTGACTCGACGTGATACCGCATGACACTGAATCCTTCGAAGCTTCACTTGATTTCGTGGACCTTTGTTGCTCGCTTTGTGAGGCGATGGTGGCAATGTCTAAGACCTGGAACGCACAGATCCTGACATCATTGAAGGCATCAAAAGCATTCCAAGTCGCGCTATAAGGGCCCACAAAAGTTTGATCTCCTTGTATACATAACTTAAGAACCTGTCGAGGCATGTTGGCTATTGGCAACTGGTGAGAAGTTGTGGAGCCCCTATGGTTCTTGAAAATCCCCACTAATTAGATTAGAATGAGATTCCTGCAGCCCGAAAGCACTTAATTACACACGTTCCCTCGACATCTTCCCAACCGGCTGCCGCTCAAACTCCAGTGACCGGAGAGGATTTTTGTCCCGCCCAGTAAACAGCTTTCCGCCGAGCTCAGGTGCGTGTCTTTCCGCCCGCCCAACTTTTGCGAAATACTTTTTGTTAGAAATTGAGAAGCTCAGCTCCTAGTGCTGAGCGCTTTATAGAGCTTTGGGCAAACATTATGCACCTCCTCTCAGCAGTTTTCACAGCCCCGCAAAAACCATCAAAACCCAATGGCAACCACCACAAGTAGCACTTGCCGAGGACGCCGAGGCACACGACCGAGGGGGCGCTCATGTTCTTGATGACCGCTTTGGGGCCGCCTCACGCCGGTCGGTGCGTGGGCCGCATTGGCGGCGAGGATCCTGCCCCCCGAGTTGTCTATTCCCAGCATCCAAAGAATGCTTAACACAAGAAAAGCATGTGAAAAAAACCCTTTCAAGTTCTCAATGTCCAAGAATGGTGTCTTTGCAACTGGCTAGGTTAACATGCCAAGAATATGTATTCAATCCAAAAGTCGAAGCCCTTCCCTAAGTGAGGACTTACACCGGCATCTGTAAAATTTGCCTACTGACTGGGGTTTGAGTATAATATGATAAGTTCCCAGTAAATAACTTGTTTCTGAGGTCTCACTGTTCATTCATGGGAGTTTGGCACTCACACGATCTGGACGCCTTCAAAAGATCATCGCTTATCGCTTAAAACATGTCCTTTTCCTCTTGATCTCATATCAACGTGGCTCAGCATGGGACTGGCCTGCCAGAGGCAACACTACTCGACAAGAGTTCCTTGCTATTTCAGTCAACAAATGTCATGTGTTGTTGTTTATGGTCGTAATGAATTCTGGGTAGAACATTGACTTGCAAAAGAGAGGTTTATGTTCCCTGCATGAAGTGTTAGGCAGTGTCACAATAAAGCTCAAAACAAAGGAATTGTCCAAGCCATGTTCATCGATCTTTGTAAGCCCATGGTTTTGGCACCATGGGCCATGGCTAGTATGAGACTGCACAAAGTTGGCTCAATTCCTGGTAGTCTGACTGGTAGTGCCCTACTGTTTAGGGATATACAAAGGTTTCGCCATGGTTCATAGCAACCCTGTCTGAAGTGGCATCCGGGGGTGCGCCATCTAATTTGATGTATATATCATATATCATCTATATCCCCACTTGTCAATGCAGAATCCTCCGCAGAATTACTCTTCTTTGGTGAGTTGAAAAAGCCCCTGGCCCACTCCAGGCAAGAATTTGGAGGGGATCCTAATTCAATCTCCATTCCCTTTTTGCCACAACCTGTCCAAAGGTGCATCACCCGCCCTGCAGTTGTCCCGCCTGTGCTGCTGGCACGCTTCACCTGACTACGCTGGTCGAATCGCGATAACAAGCTCAAACAGAACGAACTCTGGTCCTTCGATGAAGTCCTACCCATGTCTATTCTTCCAGATGATGAATACTACACCTGGATCTCAAACAAACAAGCAAATTAAGTGTTTGAGTAGTTGTGTTTGTCACATCGAACTTCCCGCCCCGGACGTGTGACAAGATCTCCGGTCCGAGGCCCCCTGCAAACATGAAGGCCGGCTTCCAGCAAATCAAAGGACAAACGGTGAGATCTTTCTCCACCTCAAGCTCAACCGGTTGGAGAGGCAGTTCAACTGGTTAGAAGACGGTTTATCCCCAGTTGAAGGCAAAGTACCCCAAACAACCCAAACCAGGGGTAAAGCCTCCTCCGGAAAACAGAAGTGGACTACCCAAGATCCCTGGCTGAGATGTGGGAAGCATGATTCTCTCCCTTCCGCTGTCCCAATCACTCAGGATCCCAAATAGTGCAGGTCACTCAGCAGGAGACCGTGAGACGATGATTATTCTTGGACCTTATGGGGGGAGACATCTGGGAGCGTATGGGGTATTCACCTCATGGAAAGAGTATGGGCCAATGGAGTAGGGAGTAGGTTGCCACGGATCTTGCGTTCTTTGATTTTGCGCAGCTTGCGATTTCGCAGAACACCTACTGATTGGTGCGCTTGAGCCTGGTTTGCCACAACAGCAAATCGCACAGGAAACTAAGGTTGAGGATGTTCACCTCACAGAACATAGATTAGCAACTGCTCCCAAAACAAGGACTTGATTCGATGTAGGAACTACTACTAACTACTTCCGGATCAACCACTTGCCTGGCTCGGTTCCTCACGTGTTCACTTGTCTTAATCACCAAGTCGCTCGGATGAAGAGTGGGCCCGACCAGAACTGCTCGGGGGGCACGTAGGTCCAAGCCTTGTCGATGCCATAGCCGTCCTTGTACCAATCGTCCTGGCAGGCTTCTAATGCACACCGGCCGTGGCCGCAGTAGGGTAAGCGGAGTAGAAAAGTATGGTCGGTACAATCAAGGTGGCTGCTTCTGGCCTTTTGGTGGGCCATGGTGGGCCTTTTTGGCAGGGAAACTCCTTTTTGGGGGGTCCCACTACCGAATTGATTGACATCATTGAGTATGTCGGATATATATCGTCCCTAGAATCGTCGGCCACCTTTCCGTTCTGCAGACATATCAGCCTCCCATGATTCTCCTTCAAGAAAGTCACGGCTTTGCACAGCGGCTCTACGCTAGAGAGCGCCAGGCTCTGAAATGTCACACACCTCGAGGCTTCACTAGAGTGATAGCCGGACTGGTTTGTAGTGATACTGTCTCTTCGGAACCGTGTGGAGCATTTTGTCTGCATATACCCAAGTCGACACCAGAAAACGGCACATAGAAAACGGTGCCTCCACGACACTCCAAGTCTGCTTAACTCTCTTGCCAAAACCTCCATGGGCTTCTCCACATCTGACATCACCACGCCCTTTTGAAGAGCAAGCATGGCAAACAGAATGGACAAGGCGCTGTTTGGTGCATCTCCGTGCAAAGCAGAAACACAAACATCGACAGCTTTTTAACATTTTAGGGTGGCTGTTCTCACTCCGACGAATCCACCCTGCATTTCCTCCAGCCTTTGAAACCCTAGCACGGGTCTGAAAAAAAAGGGTCAGTGAATCCCGGTCGGCCGGTCAACAGGTCCTCTTGCAGTGAGTTGTAAGTTCTCTCCGGCCTATCATACTATTGGCCGTGTTTTCTTGAGGTTCTTCTATCATTTAAGCATTCTCATGATTTCTATACGCAAAGGCTGCTATGATGTCCAAAGACGGCAAATCCACTGCTGGGCCGATGCTAGCAACCGCACACGAAAACCAGTCCTATCTGCGGCTGGACAACCCACTTTCTCATGACTTCATAGACGGCTCCTGGTGGTCCAGCTCCCATGTGTTTGGTTGTCAGGTTTTGCGGCCCCATGAACCATCCATGAAGCCTCGTTCTTCTCACCCCGGTTCTGAAAACTGCTTCAATACGGGACGATGAGTGAATCCCAATCCCAAACTCATCATTCTCTTCACCAACGAAACACCCGTCATTGGAGCTCCGACCCGTGTCGAACACAGCGACGTCCCGCGCTCCGTGCGGGCAGACAGCGCCGCGGCGCAGCCACGGCGGCCGGCCACCTGGTGACGACGTGGCACCGAGCTTCTTGTAGCTTCTTGTTACTAGAAGCCAGGAGCCCCTAGTAGCGTCCTTGCTCCCAGTAGTAAGGCCAGAAGCGCCTAGTAGCTTCTTGTTACTAGTAATGCGAGGAGCTACTAGTAGCTTCCATGCTACTAGTAGCGATGCCGCGATGCCAGGAGCTACTAGTAGGAGCGGGGCTGATTTGTTGGAACTCGAGGTGGGACCAAACACTTAGCGAACGTCGGCTCAGCATCTAAACGTCGGCGTTCTCAGCACATACAAGTTCTGTGTATGGTCAGTTGTTCAAAAGTGGTACCAGTACTACTTGTAGTTGGGTGGTGAATCCTTCCTCGTTGTCTTCCACATATATGTTTGGCCGCCACTCTGGAGCAAAAGGGTATACAGCATCCATGTAATCAGCAAAGTTTGTCTCACTAGGATAGACAGTTCTGATAGCATTTCGTGGGTTGTAGTGGAGCCCACACACGGATCTGACCAAACAGTTCACTGTTCCATATACAGTAAACTGAATCACTGAAGACAAAAGCAAACTATCCAATGTCCAAAGTTTCACTAACTTAACTAAGTGGGCCGAGCTAAGTGGTACCTGGGAGCTGTTTGGGGCAGCATGATGCACCTGTATGTGATTGTATTTTTTGCACCAAAGGTGCTTTGGCAAAAGTTGGCCCCAAATGGGCATCACCGTATCCCATCAGGACTAGATTGGAAATCCCATCAGGACTAGTTTGGAAAAAAGACAACCCAGGGGACCGTAGCTTTTGAAGTTCCCATGTATGAGGCGTCTCCCATGGTTGAGCCGCAAGTAAGTCCAAGCTTGCTCAGCATCCAACCAATCAACAACGCGGCAAGGTGTCTAACAAAGGGAAGACTGTGTCACAGCGTCACGCAAGACAGCAGGACCCATAGACTGAGACAGGATGAGCTCTGAGACGTAATAGTTATCGCTGTCGAAGTGGCTTCACTACCTTCCAAAATGATCCTTCCAGCCAACATCAGCTCCCAGTCGGCGCGGGAAGGGCAGTGTGCAACCGCCCAAAGCAGTTCCGCAGCCTGTTTGGTGAGAGCCAGTTGCAACGCCAATGTTGGTCGTCCCTCAGCCCTAAGCCTACTGAGCCCTGATGCCATGGCTTGCTACAACCTCTGGCTCGGTGGAGCTCATGGATGTGACCTTTTCCTTCTTGCTGAACGAATTGAAAGTAGGCCTTGGGACCTGAGACCCACAAGGACCCTGGTGCAACCAGGACTGGACATCAGCGTTGGCAAAGATCCATCACTGCCAACGCCCAATGATTTGCCTTCTATGCTGTGCTTAAGTGTGGTGTAAATATGCCACCAACCGGTTCCACAGAAGTTCCACACAGCATTCGATTGACCATTTGAGCCAGGCTGTCAGCTGGGTAACCAAGCACATTTCTGTCTTTGCATGATATAAGGGGCCATAAGCCTGGCTAGTGCCAAGCATTATGGCGCCATTGCTCTGCAGCGGCCTCACTTGTGTATTGTGAAAAAGGTGGTGAGCCTGTCTCAGCCCAGGTCAAGCGAATGAAACTGTAAAGCTTATGCATGGCTGGAGCATTATATACATTTATATACTTCACCATCGTTGTTGTCATCCTCGCCTGGCTGCTCCAAGGAAGTATCTGGCAAAGGCTCCCCTACCACTTCCTGCTTCCTTGCCCTCAAACACCAATTGTACAGTCTTGTTCTCCAAGCAGCCCGCAAAGAACTGTCTTCAAAACTCCCATTGTAAAAAAAATAGATATTATGATATTTGATATGAACTATTTGTACTTTGTAGCTGTTGAATGCTATAGCCTTTAGGGTGAGTCTCCAGCTCTGTATCTAGTATTATCCAGCATAAGGTGTCCGTTCTTTCACAACTACTGTCCGAGCTACGGCACGACCGATTACTCTCAGTTCGGCCTTGGAGGGAAGGGCCATGAAGCGTCTCAGAAGGGTCGTGTTGTGATACACATTACATTTACAAATACATCGAGATGAAACATGTTTGGAGATATGTTTGATGATGTTTTGAGCAAACACCCTCCCATCAACTATGTACACATCCAAAACACGTAGTAAAAAGGATGTTCATGATTGTTGATGGAAGGGTATTCTCATGAAAACACAGAAAGCCATAAGCCATCATAGGCCAAATAGGACCCACTGGGAACACTGGGTGTTCCTGTGTTTTGTGTTCTTTCAGGGGAAACATCACCGGAGCCGACGAATCTCAAATTCGTTGCGCCGTTCCAAAAGCACATGAATAAACAAAATTTGAGCTCCAGGGGTGTTTGATGATGTTGTTTTGTAGATCAAGAATGATCAAGAAAACAATCCAAGTTGATTGGCACCAATCAACTTCTTTCTTCTGATGGTCTAAGACCTATCAATATCATCCTGTCTGGTATTGACCTAATGCAACATCTCGCACACGTGCATCATCCGTGCTTCCTCTTGTTTCCTGTCCCCCATTGAACTCAACACCACACTGGCCCCGCCCGCTCGCAGTCGTCGCGGTCAGTCAACAGCTTCACCTGCCGTGATTGGAGGATGGAGCGCCAGCAAGTTCCAACAAATGAGCCAAATGGGTGGTTCATCTAAGATCACTTTCTGAAGATCTAAGTTCCTTAACACCAAAACTACAAGGCTTTTTCCGAGTCACATCCATTCTACTGTCACATCCATTTATCTTCTTCGTTCAGCTTCTGATGCTTGCTGGCTGTCCATGTTGGGCACTCGGAAATCACGTGTTGTTGGGTATCAAAGGGAACTAACTCCCATGAAGCCCATATTGACATATGTTCACTTGTGTACTAGTAAGGCACTTGTTACTAGAAGCGATGCACTTGTTACTACTAGCTTCTTGTTACTACTATATGTTCACTTGTGTACTCATTTGACATGCTCAAACTGCTCCAAAGCTAGAGACAACCAACCGCTTATCCACCAGCTACAGAGGTGGACAATGGCCACTTAGAAAACAATCTTCGTCCAGGAGGGTCCCACTTCCCTGTTTGTTGGGCAGAAGGCACAAGGTAAGGTAAAACCATGTAAAATCCCAACTTCAAACCCTGACCACATACTCTGTAGCATTCAGTCTGCTTCTTGTTTTGCATACACTGAACATGTGAAAAATTGATCTGAAACCTGCTCGAAAGAATCACATGTTTTCCACATCAAGCGGTTCAACATCACCAATCAACTCCACTTTACCCCTATACCTCACCCCGTTGCACTCCACTCTGCTCGTTTGGGCGCCGCGCGCGCCGCGCCTCGTGCCCGACGCGTTTCAACAACACCGAGCCCGGGGAGATCCCTGTGTACACGTCGGGCGGCTCGGCGATCTCCACCTGTGACGAGGAGTCAGCACCCGACGGAACGGAGCGGAGGCGTGAGTCTGCACCTGTTCTGGCCGTCGAGTCTGTGGACTTCTGTAAGGAAAAAGTGTTTATCTCAATAACTATAATCCGAAACGACAGGAGCATGGAGATGTGGTCATAAATCATCACACTAAAATCCTGCTTTTGGTCATGCGTCATGAGTAATGCTCAATTTATCTCGATGTTCTGTGTACTCGAGGCCGACAGCACATAGAAAACATGTAACATGAAGAGTCATATATGGTATGTTCACTAGAGACCTGGAATATAAAGCTTATCTAAAGTCACAAGGGCCAACTAACAACAAAACTTGTTCTGTGTCGTTCTGGACCGCACACATGCTGGGCCCTTTTGGGAACCCGGTAGAAACATCTGTTGGGTCCCATGCGAGTGTCCCAACCGGACATGAGGATTGGACGGGTGCTGGACGAACGTGAACTTTGGGCAAATCAGTTTGCCCCATCATTTTACAGGGTGTAATATAAGCCTATGAGAAACATCAACAGGATTTCAAGGGCTATCACTTTGTACAAGTGCCGTTGTTGTCCATCACGTTCGAAACATCTGGCAAACATAAATGTCTGGCTGGCCCGGCCCCAGAAGCTATGTTCTTTCTCGTTTCTCTCCCCCCCTCTCTCTCTCTCTCTCCCTCTCTCCCTCTCTGATTTGAATCCATGCCACCTCCTTGAATGGCAGGTACATATCCGTCACGGGACCCAAGTGTGGAATCTCTAGACCGGGGCAGAGAGTTTTCAAGCAAGGAATCCTTGTCCATCAATTACGCAAGGTGGCTTACCAGGTTCTGCCCTGGAAAACATTTGAAAACACTTCACATTGTTTCTATGACTTGGACTGCCACTGCTTTCCCTGATCCACCAGATTGATTGGTTTCTACGACATCCAAGTGTATAACTCTCCTCGACTTCTATCACTTAATATCACTTAATATCACTTGATACTTGTCGCTGCTTGCCTTCTCCACCGTGTTACCCGACATGAATGTTCATCCCTTTCTATCGCCATCTCCGGCATGGCTTTCGTCGTGCCTCACGAGACGCGGCTTTCGGCATGTGTTGGCTTGGCTCCTAGTAGCGTCCGATCGCTCCTAGTTGTACGGCCAGGAGCCCCGTTCGTAGCGATGCCCTTTTGTGCCTCCTCGAGGATCTTCCGGGTGTCGAAGTGCGGCCGCAAGATTCGCAGCAGTGTCCCGTAGTCCGAGAGGTTCCGCAGCACGCCGCCCGCCAGCGAGGCCTCCGGGCTCCGGTTCGGTCGCACGGTGTTTTATAGTTTCGACGGGGGGAAAGCTGAGGGTCACCTGCGGATCGACGTGGAATGTTGATGAATTTTGTGTCTTAGAAGTTTAGAAGTTCTAAGACATGAATTCCAGTGGCTTGAAACATTCTACGATTAATTCCAGGTCCACGTATATGGTTGGAAACTACTTATTAAGCAACGTGGTAAATGGATGCACCTCGGCTCCTCGCAAAGGTGACCTGGCAAACATGTATTGCAGCCATTCGGTAAGGGGCACTAGATGACAATAGTCTTCCAATTGTTCCAACCTTCCACATCAACATGGTCACTTGCTTGCAAGGATCCTGACTGAAACGGAAACCAACGAACAACCCCGAACCAGCAGAAATCAGCCGGTGACATAATTATTGTATATACCGTACACCCTGCATTTTTTTGGGACCATTCTTGGAGTTGAATTGTTAGGGTCCAACCCTGTCGGTTCCGAGTGCTTCCATGTCTTGCTTCTCCCTAAGAACGTCTACAGCTCGCCAACAAAAACACCCAAGACTCGGGTTCACATGGGTTCATCAAGACGCACGGTGGCCTGCACAGCATCCACTGCGGCCACTGTGGGCAGCAAGAGATCCGCGGCCATCAGCTGGGCATGAGCTAAAGCCTCGTGTCTGGCAGGAGTGTCCTGCTTGGATGCCAAAATCGGTTTCAGCAAGTGAAGAATATGGAAAGCCCGAAGAGCCTGCTCCGGCAGTTTGCAGTAGCCCGGAAAGGGTTCAGGCTTGCATTGCAATATACACACACTACTATATCGTGACTGTATACAACTATCAAACATGTATAAACATGTTGTTGATGATAAGTCCAAGAACCAATTCAATAGAAGCATGGTCAAACCTTTCAAGCAATTCCAGGATGGTAGATATAGATGCCCACCCCACTTTCGGAAAGTAATCTGTGTCAGCCTAAGTGGGGTGGGAGAGACTGAAGCGTCGAAGCCACGAGGACATCTGGGACGGAGCCACTTGTGATTGTAGCGAACCACTCAAAAAAACAAACTTGTCATTAGCAAACAACGTCAGTGATCGTTGGTAGCAAACAAACCAAAACAAATAATAAAACACGTGCCAACTGCCTTTGTATCTACAATGTGTGTCCCATTGTCTGCACTGTCAAGGGGCTGATTCCTCCGCCAATTGATAGGCTTTCAGCACTTCCTGGTGCCGCGTCTCGCCCGTCATGGTGCTTGCATCCATCCGAACAGCAAACGGTCGGGGTAGAACAATATAACACTTTGGAGGATGCAGGATGCAGGACAGGCTGTGGTTCGTTCATCCAAACTCTGGGATCCACAGCATCTGATTCAACTGGCTTTCGGATGGCTCTGCGGTGAAAAATCCATCAGGGTTCATGCATATAGTATATAGACTGGAAGATCCAGTCCCATCAGCAAACCATCAGCAAGCCTTACAGTTCTCAGGAATTTCTGACGTCCTAAGCTTTCTGCCAGAAGTACTAGCACCTGTGACCCGTGGGAATGCAAAACGAGTCAATTCCCAAAACAACAAAGGGGGTAACCTTAGTGCCTTAGTGGAACATTCGGCATTAGAATATCGTGGGTGAACATGTCTTCTGGCAAACCCATGTTCCTCACACGCATCCCACGATGAAATCCACACATCAGAAGCATCATTATGCCATCGTTTCTATCTCCATTGAGAGAGAACAGTTGAATAGATTCGATGGGGATGTGATGGGATGTGTGTTCCCATGCTGTGCGACTGCATGAGAAACCGTTGTCACCACAGTCACATCCAAGGCCTCGGACGCACGATGTCTCAGGCCGTCCGAGTAGCTCACACGACTCATGGGTGACTGACTTACCCATTGGGTGCTCAGAGGATTCACAACCCCTGGTTTAGCATGAACATCAACCCCTGGTTTCTGAATGTTGCTGAGGTAGTTAAACCATGTTAAGCCCATCAAACCCACCGCATCCCACCCCAAGCACCTTCTCAGGAGGTATTTGGTGAGCCCTAGGAATGAATCATGAAGCTGCGCCCCGCGACGGCTCCCGGGCCTGGCTAACTCCCTGGTCTACAGCTCCCATCTCTCACCTTCTCCGCTCCTGAAAGCGGTAGATGTAGACCATTCCAAAGAGCACCTCACGCTGGACTAGTTGTCCACTCACGCTCACTGAAGTGAACCCCATAGTATACCATCCATCGTCACATATGGTCACCCTGTTACAGTACCCGTGTGTCCAGCGCACCGTACCAAGTGATGTAGACAAATGATGTCAAACGAGGTTTTGTTTTGATCGGATTGATCTATTATGATCATCTATTGAATGTTTCAACACCGGCCAAAGTAATGCCTAGACTGTATGTAGTACATGTACTGATGGTGTGGAGTTATGGATTGATTCATGTACAGCCGATTTCCTTTAGGCACTATGATCCAATGACACCCGTAATTTGCGGGATGGAGACAAACATGAACAACTCTGAACTTATGTCAAGCTTTTGGGGTGGCTGGGCCAAAATGAATTCCAGATCCACTCAACACAATCTTCTATAGTTTTGCCCTGTTCTGACCTGGCTCGCCCTTTCGGATTGCTGTCAAAAGCTGGACAAATCACCGAACAAAGGGCACCGCAGGATTCACCGACTGGCTATGACCGAAGTGGCACACTGGCTTCCCCCGACCTCTTCGGTGCCGGTGCCCTCACCTCTTCGGTGCCCGCAGTGAGGGCACCGACAAAACCCAGCTAAACTCTGACTTTTCCCATGACATCCAGCATGATCTGGCTGCCTCCATGTCCTGCGAAAATACGTGAACAAACAGTTACACATAGTGGGAATGACCAGCTAACATGTCATATCCAACTTCCTTGTCCAGCCTTGCAGCCCCTTCCCGCCGAAGGCACGCCACAGGCGGCAGCAGTCCAAAGGCCGGCGAAGACGCTCACGGGGATCACCCCACTGCGGTTCAGGTCCCAATGACCTCGCCCAATTCGAAGAGACGCGGACCCGCTCGCGGCGCGGAAGCGGTGCGCATCTTCGCAAGAGGTCGAGATGACGAAACAAGGAACCGTTGGAGAAACCAGATCACTTAGATCGGACTGATTGGATGTTTGCCTTATATCACTGACATGGGCCTGAGCGGCCTGAGGCCCTGCGAAGACAATGTTTACAGTTTGCATGACTCGTACAAATTAAAGCGAGGCCCCAGTAGCAAATGGGTCCAGGCAATCGGGGTCTTGTGATCTTCTCTGGTCGCAAGGCTGATCTGTGAATCTTCGCTGTTCCAGCTACAGGCTACAATGTCCCCGAGTCAAGAGAAGGAACATCCTTGGACCCCTTTGAATCCCTTGATCTACAAACCTCCTTTGAATCCTTTGAGTCCTTGGAAGCCTGGGGGACCCCTTTGAATCAGTATGCAGGACAAGCAAAGGAATCTTGAGCCACCATCTGATACCGCTTCGGGATGCTGTGGCACGGTCTTGCCCTTGCCAGTCGCCACATAAATCCACCCGGTCTGAGTGATGACTCTGCCACACCAGTGTGCCATTGCCAGTGGAGTCCGGGAGGACCAACTCACCCAAATCCCATCTCCAACCACCACACCCTTCAGGCGAAGATCGTCTCACACGACACGCCCCACCCCGGCCACCCACCTGGCTCCGGTTCCACGAAGTCCACCGGCTCAAAGGTGTCGTCCTCCTGGAGACGACACCAGACCAAACGGCGCCGAACCAGTCTGCGGTCGAACCCAAAGCGGTGGATTGGTGGTTCTCAGACAGTTCTGACAGGCTTCACATGGGTGGTCACAATAGCTGGTGAAGTCTTAGAAGATGGCACTGAAGCCTCAAGCATCCGGTGCCCGCTGAAGCCAATGAAGCATGAAAAAAGCCTGTGGTCCACTGGGTCTTCATGTCTTGCTTATTCCACACCTCCCCAAGCGGCACGGGGGGCTCCTGATTGACCAAGGATCGGTTGCTCCTCCCCTTCGACAAGCTGCTCTTAAGCGGCCCTGACAACGCGCTGAACATGTGCGTGTCGTGCAGTCGAGTAGTGGGAGTGGAATTGGAGTGGACAGTACAAAGAGGTCACATCAATCAAAGGCGTTGGAACTATACAAACCACCCCAAAGGCGCCAAAGGTCACTATCCATGCAGCTGTTGGACTGTCCATGGGACCCTTTTGGGAAACAAAGAACTTGTTGAGCATGAAAGGAGAGCAGGGGTTCCTTTATGCCAACATCGGCCCACTGCCAGGAACTCAAAAACCTACAGATGGTGTATGGCCTCCCAAAAGGCAGCCGCAGGCCGCAGGAAACATAGATGCTCTGTAGGTCCCCAGCTGCTAAGCCCAGCATCAGTGGAAGATAGTGGAAGTAATGGATGCCAGTCGCTGACCAGCAACTCTTCCACACCGACTCTTCCACTGACTCTGAACAGCGGGAAAACGATACAGCAGAAAAGCCACAGTTACCCAGTTCCACTCACCCACCTCGTGTGTCTTTCGCCTACTCAAAACTACTTGAGAGAGGAGGGGGTGAACGAAAGGTAGCAGGCAATCACAAGTAACCCTGGTAGAAGTCCACGACGGCGTGAACCGGCGCAGGGGGGATTTGATCCAGGGGGGGGGGGGCCCCCCCCCCGACGAACAGAATCAACTCTTACAGGACCAAATTCAATGCACAATCCCAACTCCTGATTGTAATACATTTTTGCTAAAGCAAGGAGAACTCAGGTAGCTCAAGCTACCTTTCGTGATTACAGGCGTCCCCAAGAAGTGAATTGGTTTGCAGAGCCACCATGGCTTTAAACATGCCGAGGACCTCATCTCACAACCATGCTTCACCAGCCCCAGCAGCAGTTTGCACTGTTCTTCACCCCGGAAAAAAGAAAAACACACATCCGTGAAATCATCCGAATCCAACCATCAGATTCACAATCAACTAGCTGTCTCTCAGCTCGAAGCCGGAGTCGTCTGTGGCGAAGCGCAAGGCCTTCGGAGTCGTAGCCGAAGGTGCTGGGCGGCCCCGGGGAGCTTCGCTCGCTGCTGATCCCGAAGCCCGCCGCACGCTGGAGGCCCTGCGGATGGACGCGGTGGAGAGGTAGCAGAAGTGGTTGGTGGAGGGCGGCTCTGCATATACTTACATGCACAGTTCACTGGGAAATTTTGAGGTGGGATGTGAAATTTACAATTAAAGGCTACTTAAACAGTTCAACATGTCTTGGACTTGAGGATGACTGAACCTCTAGTCAAGTCACTGCACTATCTCAAGCCCTTTTTGGACTCCGACTGGTCCGGACTATGACGACCACGGAGAAAGGCCCATTTGAAGCCTCAGAAGGGATTGACACCCTGCACATTTCACCAATGTTCGCTACTAGGAACAAGTGCATCGCTACCTTACTACTAGGAACAAGAAGCTATTAGAAACAATAATTAATTCTGAAAGAACAATTTTTGTTTCTACTAACATCCCAGTCATCTCATGGAAGAGATCCCAGCCGATCCGAGCCGGCGCGGTCCGCCGCCGCGGAAGGACCTGCGAGGAGGCGCTGCCGGGGGGGAAGAAGCTCACCGCGGAGACCCCCGCCAGGGGCAAATCCTCGGTACGGTGTGGTCTTCGTCACGTGACGAAGCCTGTGCGCGTCTCTCGATTGGGGTGCCACGGCGCCTGGCCGCCTGGCACAGCGTTCCACAGAAGTTCAGTTTTCTGCTGACGAACTCTGGATGAAACTAGGGTCATCGGTCATCTCCGGGCAAAGCACTTGCAATTCTGCAAAGTCGCTGAACACCATGAGTTAGGGGGATCCCTTCTGAGACACTCCAGCTTGCGCAGTCTCAGCCCAGGAGAGGAAAGGGGATGTTCCAAGGAAGAACCACACAAACACCGTACTTTATTTTTTTCAAAGACCAACCTTTTGACCATGCACATCTCAAAAGCCTGTCGAAATAGGTGATTTTATGTGGTTTTTGCAGTTTCCATGCTGGTCCTGGTGTGGGGTTTTGATGGATTCGGGCTGATGGCCAGCTTCACCGGGCGAATGTGGCAAAACCGTGGGCCGGGAGGGCTGTGAAAGGGGCGGATGGGTGAAGGGAACCCATGACTTCAATGACTTCCAGCTTCACACTTTCAGTGGAGTATGTGTTCCGTCTATGATAGCATTTATATATAATATGCTTTGATTACTATACATTATAAATTAATATCTTCAAGAATATTGCATGCTGTTTTTCCCAGATAGCGAAGCTATGGGGTTCAAATAGCAATGAGTTGCCCGTGCGCGCTTTCGAGACAGGTTGCGGATGCCGGTGCTGGTGCTGGGTGCCGGGTGCCGGTGCTGGTGCTGTGAGCTGGCTGTGCACGTGGTGGAGACAAGGTGCTGGCTGTGCGCGTGGTGGAGAAAGGGTGCCGGTGCTGGGTGCTGGCAGTGCGCGTGGTGGAGACTGGCTGCCAGCGCTGGGCGCTGGCTGTGGATGTGGTGGAGACCCCGTGCTAGTGCTGGGCGCTGGGTACCGGTGCTGGGCGCTGGTGCTGGGTGCCGTGAGCTGGCGTGCCGGTGCTTGGTGCTGGTGCCCGCTTCTGACAGTGAAGTGATAACAACCGCCTCTTTGACAGTGAAGGGTGACAAAACGCCGTTTGTAGCAGTGAAGGGCGACCAACCGCCGCTTCTGACAATGAAGTGCCAGCAGTCATGGGCCGCATGAACTTATGCACACAACATCATACGGTGTTGTCGCTTGGGCGTTCTTTGTCTATCAGCACTGTGGGGTATTTACACTCGACTCTTCAAGTTCTGTTCTGGCCGACAGCTGTGTCAAGGGCTGTACTGTTTGCGCGCATACGCGCACATGTTGTATGCGCAACATCAGGCTCTCAACCGACCATTGTTTCAGCATGTTTCAGCATGCTACACACACAATAATAGTCGTGCTGGATACTGCTTGGCCTTGGGCGAGTGAAGCCTAAGGGCTTTGCCGTTTGTGCGCATACTTTTTTGCGCATAAACTTATACGCGCAAGATCATACGGCCTTATCGTTCTACAGATCGTTGCTTCAAGCACGCTACAAAGTCAATAGTGGCGCTGGATACTGCTTGGCCTTGGGCCAATGACACTTACGGGCTTTGCTGTTTGCGCGCATACTTGTGTGCGCATAAACTTATACGCGCAAGATTATACGTGGTTTTTCCCCAATAGGGATAGCTATGGTGCTCTTGCATAAGAATGAGCTCGCCGCGCGCGCTTTCAAAAGGGTGTCGGGCGGCGGCGCTGGTCGGGTGCTGGCGCCGCTGCCGGTGTTGTCAGCTGGCAAAGCGCACCGGTGCTGGTGTCAGCTGGTTGTGCGCGCTGTGGAGGTGCCGTAAGCTGGCTGTGCAGGCAGCGTACATTCTTGTTCCAGCCAGTCGCATGTCAACAGGTCGTGGGATTCTGCCTAGCTATCTGGGTCTATGCTGGTGTATTTTTCTTGAACGATCTCATGGGATGGGTGTGGATCAGCTCCACTGCTATCTGCCAAATGATTTCCTTGCAGCAAGAAATCACAAATGTTCTTGCGAGGGTTATGGGCTTTCGTGGCTTTAAAGAACCTAGGTGAAAGGCGTCTGTCAGTCATTCATGAAATATGATAGAATCCGACCAAGTTTCTGAAAGGGGACATAAGGGGACACTTGAACGCTAAACAACAACTTTCACGACGAGTTGTGCTGACAAGCCATTCCGATGATGGGCTAAGTCGCAAGACTATGAGTGTTCTTATGGAGCCAACCTCTCAGCTTTCATAGCCAATCTCTCTGAGAGAAATCTGTTGACAGCACTGCCGAGCGACACTTTCACTCTCTTCTCTGGCAGAGGAATCTTCCTTGTTCTTCGACCGCGTGCGCCGGCGACTGTCCTGACAACGTAGCGGGTATCACTGGTCAGTAGACGGAACTTGGTTCGATGGGCCAAGCAAATGCTTGGAATAATAACTAAAGGGGTCCAAACCTGCTTGGGAAAATGCAATCTGGGCCACAAAGCAATGCATCTCTTCTCAACCAACACAAACACAGAAACATATCTACCCGACGAAGGACCAACCCACGCACTCCAGACTGGAATGTTAACCTTCACTGCATTGACACCCCCATCTGATCGATGAATCTTACAGTCCCATACCACGCCTCCCTGCTAGCGAGGTTGGAGCCTTCCTGCCAATGCTTGGCTGACTGGTCGCTGGGGAGACATGCGAAGGCAACGCATGCATTGAGTCTGGTGTGTCAGGGAGTTTCATGGATTTGGCCTTTGCAAATATGTCTGGGGGCTGGATTAAAGACCCTGCCGTTCGGCCAAGTGGGCTGGATCACACATTTTGGTGTCTTGCAAGTGGAACGCATGGATTTCACGCTGTGGGAGAAGCGTCGTACATGTTGATACAGGTACTCGCAGGTACTTCATAGAAGTACTTCTCAATACTTCCCAATACACTCCACATTGCATCATGGGACAAGTGAGCATTGCTCAGAGTCGGAAAAGGCATGCTGAGTCTGCAAAGTGATCTCCCATGTCAGCTGGACGGGGGGTCGAAGTGTTCATGCTGCCGGGTCGGAGTCATTCCTCTATATGCCATAAATCAATGGTAACAAGCTGCCGTGCCAAAACCGCCGACTGGTGGATGGTCTCAAAATGAGAACGCAACCTTTGGTATCCGCGAAGGGGATCCTTTTTTCTATCCATGATCAACATCCCATAGAAGAGATCTCGTGCAAACGTCCAAATGTTGAATTGGTTTGCCCTTCTCAAGCTTCCTTTATTGTCTGGCTCTATGTCTCGGAATTCACAAATCCCTACACTTCATCTGTCTTTAATCATGTCTTTGCCTCGGCTAAAGCCCCATCATATAGACATTTAAATAAACCACGTGGGCTCAATCCAGAGCGCTTTGCCGGCTCTTCTTTCGCCGGCGAATCTGCCAGACTCGCCACGTACCACGCGTGCGACCGACGTCGCGTGGGACTCGCCTCGGAGGCACCCAAGGTGGACTTGGTGCGTCGCTGCCGTGAGGTGTTTGAACCAGAACCCTGGCGTGCGGTGCGGTGCCGCAGTGAAGGCGTCGCAGCGGGGAGAAAGCAGTCTGAATCCGCACCCGCAGGTGTGCCAGATGAGCCACTCTAAAAACCTGGAGTCACTCCCTATGTCGCATCACTTCCTTGCGCGAAGCCTTACGCGCTGCTTACGCGGCCCTCACTTGCTTATGCAGAGCAAACTTCCGAAATGCTTACGCGAAATGCTTACGCAATCTTGAGCAACCCAGGGTTTTGCTTACGCGGAATTCGATATGACAAGGTCCTTACTTAAGATGTAAAGGCAGGTTTTTAGAGCGGCTCAGATGCTTTGGAAGAGTTGCTTCTAGGCCAGTGCTGGGCTGTATATTATGACCTATATTGACCTGTCATATCACCTGTATGGATACGTCCCAACTTGGAACTTGATCTTGTTGCTCCTTCTAGGTTTTGGGTTTCGCACCTGAGGAACCCCCAACAACCATGCCCTCTTGTCAGGTGCGATCGATCCTGCGCTCGAAAAAGCGCCCAGACCGGGTCTGGGCTTCGACCAATTCGGTGCCTGACCTTGAGAGGTCACTTTGAGTCACTTGGAAGCTGTGTTTTCCATGACGGAAACAAAGCGCAGTCAGGCAGCAAAACTGATTGGCTTTCTCTACAATATGGACCATTCTGATGCCTTTGACTTGCCAGTGGTTCATTTGAGTGAACAAATGAAAACCTGTCCACCGGCCTGAACAAATCATTGTATGATAGACTCTGAAAAACAACCCCCTCTGAAAACAGTTTTTCCTCTTAGCCTCATCTGCAGAGAACAAAACAATCTTGAAAGCTGTTGGAAACCTCTGATCATCCAGCCCTTCAGTGGGACTGATAATGTTTTCCGTGGGTGGTACATTCTACCTTCTCAAGAGCTGTTGGACCCATGCACTTGATGACATTCTTTACCACCTTGGAATCGATCAATATCGTACTCCAATCGTACTGGATCCACATCGATACGGCAGGAATTTGTCCATCCAAGTGTTTGAACAGATTGAACCTTCGCCGACCTTCACGTCATCGGCACATCTCGTGCCTCTTCGCTCTCGCCGTTGCTTCTCTGGGGCACCACAGTCGGCATGGTCCTTGTAGCCACACGGACTCCGTTGGGTTCAACGAAGTCAAGGTCGCAGGGATAGGATTGGAGAGGGTTTTCCAGTCCACTGAGTGATTTCCAATCACTTATAAGTTGAGTATCTAAGCCATGGTGCGGTTATTGGATTTCCAATCACTCAAATCTGCACCTCGAGACGCAAATACCTTGAGCCCATAAGGATGATCCCAAGACTTTGCAAGCGATGTCACAGGCGAGCGAGATGGCCCGCGGGGAGGCTTCACTGATGGTTCTCTTCCTCTTTTACTATACTGCCACGGAGGTCGTTGCTTTCACACACAGCAGAATGTTCAGACATAAAATCATGGATGTTGTGATAGGGTCGAGCATCGGCAAGAGATGTCAAATCCAAAGGAAGGAACCCATCTGTTGGCTCCAGTCCTCCGGGAAGACCAGCACGGCCGGGCCCCGCGGTCGCTAGCCGAGTTTCTTCATGATGCAAACTCTGAGCCACAAATACCATCGGGTTTGGCCAGGCAGTTTAGGGCCAGCGAGGCCAACATGTCCCGGCTGACCAGTCCGGCGGACATGGCCCTCGTTGTTCGCAGTATCCAAGCCCCACGAAGTAACACCGATGAAGGCACTTCGATTCCTCACGAACTGATCAAATCAGAGTTTGTGGCACAACGATACCCTACCTATTCATCTTTCCAATGTCCATCTCCATCCATCTGAACTCGTGGCACACTGAACTGAACACACACACGTATACATATATATATATATATGGATATCGCTTTTCTGATCCACAGGATGTTCATCGATTTGACTCAGGTGTTCAACGTTTCTCAACCGGGGGCCTTTCCTTATATATATATATGGAACCACAATGCTTCGTTTAATCAAAATTCCTTTGTTTCCTTCAGCAGTAGCTGCCAAATGATTCCTTTTTTCCCAGGGAGGCAGCCTAGAACTTCAACAATAACTTTGATCGTGTGGCAATCCGTGGCTCATGAAGAGTCCGAAATGCTACTCTGTGGGTGCTTTGGCTGTAAAGGTGTTTCCAGCGCAAAGCATTGCAAAGCGCTGTGTGAAGCCGGGGCAGGTTTGGAACACGGGCAGGTTTGGAACAGCCGTTTGAAGCTTGGATATGCTGCATGATCTGCTTGGATGCGGCTTCCACATCCGCATCTTGAAGCATCATCTGTCCATCTGTTTATCAAGTTCTACACACCGTTGTCCGTTATTTGCAGCAAAATACAGATCTCGCGATACTTGGAGCAGTCTCCGGACCTCGTTGCAGATTCACCAACACCCCTGCGTCCAACCCCTTTTGGATAAAACCCTGTTCGCAGCACCCAGTAGATCCCAGTTGCCCTTCCGTAAGAACGAAGATCGGATAGATGCTTTTGCTTTTGGGCCACCCTTGGTCTATGTTGAGCGTTTGGCAGAACGGATTGCTTGCTATATTATAGTCGGAGACAAGTCCTGACAAATCTGGTGAAGTAGACAAACTCAAGCAACCATAGCACCTGACAGGTCTGGTGCCAAACACCCGTGTTCTCATTCGTTGCTTGCTATCGTGTCTGAAAAGAACCCAATATGTTCCCAACACCTCACGCTTCGAGTCGTTTGTTCGCCCCTGTCTCCTTTGCTTTACGACCCTCTGCTGGGCCACACAGTCTCTCCCTCGGCTGCCCAGCGAGGTGGAGGCGGGGGGCGCCCTGTCACGGCGGTCGTTCGGAGGGCACCCTCAAGGATCAATGTGGGAATCACGAGTTGTCGAATCACTAGCATACTGTACCGTACTCTGTTTGAAATGCACCCCATTGTTCTTCCTGATTCGCCCGTTCAGCACCACACTTTGGCCAACAAATATGTGTTCCTACCCATCGTGTTCACACCGCCAGGTTCTTCTGCGCCAACTTCCCGCCTCTCTGGCAAAGTGCGGGAGGTCTTTAAAACCCGCGCAGAGTTCATGCCACTTCCAGCCATCACCTCGCCTGAAGCCGTCGAATCTTCGTCCTCGACCCTGAGCAAACATTCCTTTTGAGGGGGGTACTCCAAACAGCCAAACGCCTATCAAAGAAAAATGGACAAACAGCATACATGCAGTATTCCAAAAATGTTCTAACACAGGCCCCACGTAATTGGTGCCATGGTGTCTTTTAATTTCTTGCTTTCCATCTAATGAATCTAAGTCTTCTAACATTGGTGGTTGGCATTCATTGGAAAATCTGAGTGCTGAGTCCTGACACATTTAATTTGACTCTAGGTTGGCAGGCGGCAGTGGACGCATGATCCGATTCCGAAATCTTGAAGAAAACAAGGAAATTGCTGCAACTTGACCTCAAGACTATGTTCTTTCTCGCTGTTTGAGCTTGACACTTAAGGTCTGACTCACGAAGCCGAACAGTGTGGGCTTCATCACGACTTGGGCTGCAGTCCAACCGTGATCTGGTTGAGTTCTACAAGGTATGTAGGACATGAGGTGCATAATTCCGCCATGTTTTTTGGCATTCTTGGCATTCCGTGTTGAATTCAAACACTCATGTTTGGCAGTGCCAGTCGCCGCCTCGAAAGATACGTTCCTCACGCATCCGTGCCCGTCCCTACGTGTGTGTTCCGCTCATACGATGCCCGGGCCCGTCTGTTTTCGCCGTTTGTGACGTGTTCGGTTGGACCGGACTGCATTGAAGCGCCCAGCAAGGTTTTGGAGAGGGTTTTCACAGGTCAAGAGAGACCCATGGAACTATGTTGAAGGACTTATATGTCAGTCTGTATATCTCAAAGCACGACCCCATCTAAAAATTACTGTGTCAATGGTATGCGTTAAACAAGTGATACCAAACACATACCCACTCATACAAACTCGTTACTCATACAAACTATACCCAGCTGCTTACTGAACTGGTTACCCAACTCTACCAGGCATCGGTCTGTCTGTTGTCTTTGAACGATCCACATCCACTCTCTCTGCATCATCCGCTTAGACGCAGACCTGGCGGAACTTCGAGGGGCACTTCCTCCTGACGAAGGTGCGATTGGATGCCAAAGCATTGAGGCAAAGCAATGGCGAACAAATGGTTCAAAATGATTGGATGAGACTTGGGCACAGACTTCACTAGGAAATTCATGGTTCTTATAATTTGATGCTTTCAATGCAAAGGATGTAAAATTGGCAAACAAGGCATGAAATCCTGCGCCACCTTGAAGCGGTGATTTGGAGGCTGCAGTCAAATACATCCCGAACTTGTTGGCTCACTTACGGTCATAACATATTTTTTTTACTAACTAATTCTAAAGCACAATCCTCATATGTTAAGTTTCCCTAAAAATCTAGGAACCAAATCATTAGTGCGAGCTATCCTGCATCTTGTCAGTAGTAGCTACTTAGTCCATCCCCCCCCGCGCGCGGGGGGGAGGGAGGAGCGGGCTTAAAAAATACAACAACACTCCAAAATTCACTCTTGCACAATGACTTCACCAAAAGCTTCCTTCCATTCTTTGCACCTTTTGAACTTCGTGTATTTGTTGGGGAAAACGGCGTTCATCGGCTCCTCCGGCGGTTCCTCGTCGAACTCGCTGCCGTGCACGCCGTCGGACCTCGCTGGGCATTCAGACCAAGCGAGTTCGACAAGAAGGACGAGTGATGATTTGAGCGGGGTGGGCTTTGATCACCTGTTTTCCTATGGTTTTTCTGGGGAGCTCTGGGGAGAAAAGGGGATGCTTTTCATGCTTTTCACTCAACTAGCTCGCATGTGGCATCTTCACCTTGTGCAGTCCTTGACTTCTGAATGGTTCAAGAGATGAAAGGCTGTCTGTTGGGCTTGTGCTCTCATGTATATCAAGCCAAAAAAACTTGCGTCAAAAGAGCTTGAGGAGCATACTCATGGTTGGGCCTTGCTTCTTGGAAGTTTACTCCCCTTACAACATGCAAATACACAGCACCTATTCTTCCCCCGCACTCCTGTTGCCTGGTTTTTACTCTCTGTCTCGGATCCCCATACACCTCCAAGTCCCAACTTCGGGCAAAATCGCAAATGCCGGAGCTGAACGCTCTTGCGAAGATATGCACCGGTCGCATCCCACACCCCACCGGACGGCACAAAGCTGTAGCATCCTTGTGGTCATCTACCTTTAACTACTGTGGGCCACACTCACAAATGTTCCAACAGTTGATCGAAGATACAAACAAATATATCTGGAATTATCTGGATATATCCGGCAAATGTCTCAACAAACCGGACAGGGGTGATTCACTAAACAAACGCCCATGCCTTCGGCTCCACCCTGGGTTATCTTTAACACCCTATGATCATTTCCTATATTTCCAGATGTCCGACAACTTTGGCAAAGGATATATTAATTACTGTAATTTCATATATTATGAACATTTATGAACTGTTTCAACCAATCATGTGGCTAGTGGCTATGTAGCGTTGTTCACGTCATTCTTATCCCTTCTACACATCCCACAGCCAAGTCCCCAGCTCCCACTTGCCATAAGCATCCCAATCCTGCCAAAGCCACGTTGTTGTTGTTGATGATGAACAAAGTTGTTTCTTCAGTAGGGTTCTGTGAGGATCTATGGGTACATGGCACAAGGATCTGATGGCCTAGTGACTAGTGGGGATGACCTAGGTAGCTCATTTTCTTGCTTTTCTGCAGTCGGCTGCAACGTCAGCAAATGTTAGTATTAATATAAGGCTCGCCCCCGCTCCTTTTGACAATGAAACGCACGGTTGTCCAACAGAACCCCCTTGTTGAAGTTGGACGGGGAATTCACAATCTCCTGTTGACAGGTGTTGCCCCGTGAAAGCACCAACCTTAATTGTTCCTGTCCTGGTTTTCGCTGTGAAACCGCTTAGCCAGCTGATGCAATAAGACAGGACAAACAAGGAACGAAACAAACAGAAAAACCTTGTGGGTGCTGGTGAAGGGGAAAACCAGGTGAAAGGGAAACAGCCAAACAAAGCCAAACATCATTTTCACACCTGGGGCACCTCGCCAAGTTTGGTTTGCCAATGCGTTGCGCTTGTTTGGGACCCGATCTGAGAAGATGACTCGACAACCGAAGGTTCCCCTAAGGAGAGGACTTGAAGTACTGCTTCGAAAAAAGACTTTGCGACTGAAACGGCCAGTCGGCTCGGAGCCGATCTATGACAACGGCTGATCGACTGAACTGTGAGCCTGTGAGCTAAGAGAAGTCTCAACTGATCAAACCCAGACCTCTGTCAGCTGTAATTCAGTACTATTCTGAAGACTTCTCTTGGAGGCCTGTGCCCGTTGTAGAGCAACCGAGGCCGATCGACGATGTTGCCAACTTATGGCATGCACCCGATAGTAACTGGGAATGGGAGAGTTCGAGTCAGAGGAGCTTTTGAATGTCGTGGTACGCGAGAACCTAAGTAGGTGGCCTTGTTGAACGAGGATGGAACCACCGTCGATCACACGACCGAGACGGCATGAACTGCTTGAACATGAGAACCCAGAAAGATACAAACATGAATCCGCTTGCTATATACCAAATGTCACCCAACGTCTCCCACCGATGTCTCGTCTTTCATTGCTGAAATCCCAACTCAATCATACTCGATCGGGCTAGCGGCTAGACATGACGGGTCCAGGTTGCCCAAAAGGTCTGCAGTTCGGCACCATACGTGTGGGCTCTGGTCAGCCTGGACCTTTCAATACCTTGGTCATATATTATATATATATATATATCTGATCTGTTTCCAAAGTCATACGCAAGTTGATACGCCAGTGGTCCCCCTGTTGATACGCAAGTTGAGCCTTTCATGATTCCT